ATCTATAGGTCTGTGGTTTCTTTTTTTAAAGTCTTTTAATGTTTATTTATCTTTGAGGGAGAGACAGAGTGCGAATGGGGGAGGGGCAGAGAGAGGAGACACAGAATCCGAAGCAGGCTCCAGGCTCTGAGCTGTCAGCACAGACTCCCATGTGGGGCCTGAACTCATGGACCACAAGATCATGACCTGAGCCGAAGTCGGACACTTTACCGACTGAGCCCCCCAGGCGCCCCTGGAATGATTTAAATGTAGACAGGGGTGATGGTTGTATAACATCGTGATGCACTAAGTGCCACTGAACTGCTTACGTTACAATGGGTGGTTCTATGTCATAAATTTGATCTCAAAACACTGGAAGTGTATATTATAGTTTAATTTTAAAAATTGTGTGAGAGGAAGCGTGAGTCTGAGAATTTACCTAATTCGCCAAAGACTATACAATGAGCAGTTCATCAGGATCTTGATTTGAATGCAAGCTCTTCCCCACGAATGACTGGCTCCCCACCCCAGCACAGTCAGCAAGGCACTGATTGCCACTGAGCGGTGGCCGTGCCTTTTTTTCAACGAAAAGAATCACCCATATGGAAGAGACGTCAAATCTTTATTGGTTGCAATGATCAGGGAAAGGGCATATTTTGAGAGGCAGCTGATGAATCCTATAACTTCTGTGCCTTCCACGACCCAGACTTACCTAAAGACTGTGGGGGAAAACAAAAACAAAAGCAAAAGCCAGAGGTTAGGATAGTATCACAGTCTCCCCAACAAGATAATTGGCTTCCTCTCTAATGGGACATCTGGTCTACCCCTAGAAACTAAATAGCGTGACTGGAACAGGAAGACAGAGGAGCACTGAGAGTTGGTAGCCTTAGGAGAGTTTAAGGATTTCTTCTTCCTCTCATATTCAATATCCCATTATTGATCATTTTAATTTCTTGGTTATTTAGCAGAAATTACATAGTCTGTTATTTGAAAAAAATTAAATTGATCATTTTCGGTGTTCAGAAAGTTAAAAATGGGCAGTCTAAAAATGTTGACAGAGGGTAATTTGGAATAACCTAATATGTAACACACACACTTGAGATGTACATCTCCCTTGGCCCAGTGATTCCACTCCACTCTTCTAATAATAATTTTAAAAAGCCAGCCCTTACATACTCACTTAAAAATCAATGTAGAAGGTACCCATAAAAGACAAGCAAATTATACTGTATTATTTTTTAATACTTTTTTTTAAATTTTTTTAAATGTTTTATTTATTTCTAGGAGAGAGACAGCATGAGTAGGGGAGGGTCAGAGAGAGAGGGAGTCACAGACTCTGAAACAGGCTCCAGGCTCCGAGCTGGCAGTCAGCACAGAGCCTGACGCGGGGCTCGAACCCACGAACCGTGAGATCATGACCTAAGCGAAAGTCGGACGCTTAACCAACTAAGCCACCCAGGCGCCCCTTTAATACGTTTTTAAAAGTTTATTTGTTTATTTTGAGGGAGAGAGAGAGAGCACTCAAGAGTGTGAATGGGGGGTCGCCTGGGTGGCTTAGTTGGTTAAGCGTCCAACTTTCGCTTAGGTCATGATCTCGCGGTTCGTGGGTTCGAGCCCCGCGTCAGGCTCTGTGCTGACTGCCAGCTCGGAGCCTGGAGCCTGTTTCAGAGTCTGTGACTCCCTCTCTCTCTGACCCTCCCCTGCTCACGCTGTCTCTCTCTCTCTCCTAGAAATAAATAAAACATTAAAAAAAAAGAGTGTGAATTGGGGAGGAGCAGAGAAAGAGGGAGAGAGAGAATCCCAAGCAGGCTCCATGCTATCAGCACAGAGCCCAACACGGGGCTGGGTCCCGCAAATCATGAGATTATGACCTGAGCCAAAACCAAGAGTCTGATGCCCACCCAACGGAGACACCCAGGTGCCCCTATTTATTTTTAAATGGTTACTTATTTGTTTTGAGAGAGAAGAGCATGTGCATGGTGGAGGGGCAGAGAGAAAGAGAGGGAGAGTGAGAATCCCAAGCAGGCTCCATGCTGAGCCCAACATGGGGTTCAATCTACCACCGTGAGATCATGACCTGAGTCAAAATCAAGAGTTGGATGCTTAACCAACTGAGCCACCCAGATGCCCCGTGTTCTCCTTTTTAAATTTTTTTTAATTAAAAAAATTTTTTTTAGTGTTTATTCTTTGAGAGAAAGAGAGAGAGAGGCCACGAGCAGGGGAGGGGCAGAGAGAGACACACATACAGAATCTGAAGCAGGCTCCAGGCTCTGAGCTGTCAGCACAGAGCCCAACATGGGGCTCGAACTCATGAACCTGAGCCAAGGTCGGACACCTAACTGACTGAGCCACTCAGGTGCTCCTACATGTTCTCCTTTAATCTATTAGTGCCAGGCAGGTCTCCATCCCACTCATCCTCTATATTTTTTTTTACCTACTTTTAATTAATGTTATTTTATTTGGCTGTGCACTCCATCTGAAGTCTCTTCCTTTTCATAGAAAAAAATTGGAAAGTAAGGGAAAGAGGAGACAAAGAAAAGATGGAGAAGAAAGAGAAATGGGTGGAAAATGCAAACACCCTCACTCCGTATTAGTCATTGTTCCCAGAGCTTTATATAATACAAGTGATCTGACTTCATTGATTTCACAGCCCCTGTGAGGTAAGTCAACTAGCATGCCCACCTCCATAGCCACTGTGAATGGTTATGAATGGTCATCTATTAAATGCACATTTTATAACTAAGAAAGCAGGCTCAGAGAGGTGCAGTAAAAGGTGAATTAGTAATTATCTCCAGAAGTTGTGTTTTTAGTCACTGTCTAGTATGGCCCCTCAAGGCAGAAAGGTAGCAAGGGTAGAGGGGGAAAAACTTATCTCTTGTGAAGGGGAGTGATAAGCCCCTCTGAAAATCTCTTGAAAGTAGGTTTTCAACGTGATGGAATGGCATTATATTATGCAATATGATTATTGGCACAGAGCACGCATTCCTATCTACTTGGCAGCTAGAAAGGTCAGTTCCAATTGTACAACCCCACGAGACGCCTGCATGGTGCTAACTTCACCTCTTGCTGTCTTACCCTGAGTTCTCCTTGATTTTTAATTGATTAATTCTAATACTGTAAAGCAAGTTATTTTTAGTAGCTGTCTGAAGCTTTCTGGACCAAGGCAGTAAAAAAGAAAAGAAGGAGAAAGAAGGGAGAGAGAGAGAGAGACAAAACACTGGTTTCTGAGAACCCAACCTGTTATGGTTCTGGAAGTCCTGTCACACGAGTCAGGTGGGGATTTGGAGCCAGATCACTAGCCTGGGATGCCGAGGAGCCCCCCCCTCCCGCCATCATGAGTGGCGGGTCAAGAACATAGCCTCTGGTGCAAGGTGGTGGTTCGATTGCTAAAGCTTTCACTGGGGATCGCGTCCCGGTGGAGGGGCGGATTCAGTGTGTCAGGAACTTCTTGGAAGGTACCCAGGAAACAGTAATTATACAAACAATGGAACTGGATCGCTGTAGCACGGCACTGCTGATATCTTATTATCAAGGGATGGCATTATATTATGCAATATAATTATTGGAACAGAGCATGCATTCCTATTTACTTGGCTGCTAGGAAGGTCATTTCCAATAGTACAACTTGTTATTATCAAGTAACAAAAAGCTGCAAGTGAGTAATAGGCAATTAAAAGCCAATTGTGAAGAGGGCAGAGCCTTCCTGGCATCTTACCAATAAAAGACAAACCTAGGGAGTTGATATTGATTGGCTGAGCTCCAGAAAAGGTCCAAGGATCAGCAAAGTGGTTGGCGGAAATAATGGCATCTGTGGCACGTAGAGCGTACAGTGCTGTGCGTGGGTCCCAAACAGGACCGTGACTTTTCTGGAAGCCCAATGAGAAAAGTCAACCCGATCACTTACAAGTGTGACAACAGGATAGGAGAGAAGCAACCACTCAGCTTAGATTCAAAAGAAGTGCCCCACGTGGGTCTTCATCTGTGTGTCACTGGTGAGGTGGACAATGCCTCCCAAAGACAATTCCAAATTAATGGTTGTGCAAGTTTTGACAAAACCGCAGAGCCATGGGGTAGAAGCAGATACCGACTTTAGCCACCATGGAGTCTGGGCCAGGTTTGGGGCTTTCTTTCTTACCAGCTGTTGGCTTTGGGTGTCCAGCTGTTTCCACCTCCATCAAATGGCAATTTTGATGGGGAAAGAGGTAAAATGAGTGGAAAGCTCATAACCGAGGGCGTTGTAGGGGCTCATTTAATGGGACCAGTTAAATAAGTGATCTCTGCACAAAACTTCATTGAGACAGTGGGATTTGACACTGCGTTTGGGTATAACTTAGCTGTTTAAGCCTTGATTTCCTCATTGCTTTGTGGGCCTCATGACACCTGTAATCACCCCTGAGGTCATCGTGAAGGTTAACTGAGACACTATTGGACACTCAATACATCTCTCGCTGCGATTCAAGAGCACAGAGATGAGTGAGCTCTTGGAGCTCAGGATTTTCTCCTCCTTATGTCTTCTTTTCCATGGAAACCAACCTCATTTCTTTATCCTCATGGGGTAAAAGACAGATCATTCAATCCAGGGACCAGCAAGCTAGAGCTTAGAGGCCAAATCCAACCTGTCCTCTGTTTCTATGACCTGTGAGCTATTGGTTTTCTTATTGTTAAGTGGTTAACTGAAAACGAACATCAAAAGGCAACCGATACTTTGTGACACCTGAAAATTATATGGGCTTCAAATTCCAGGGTCTATAAATAAAGTTTTATTGGCATACAGCTATGTTCTTTTTTTTTTTTAATTGCCTGTGGCTGCTTTTGTGCTACTTGGCAGAGGTGAGTATGTAAGAATCCGTAAGACCTGTGAGGTCTGAAATACTTATGAATAGGCCCTTCCCAGGAAACGACTGCTGACCCCCAATCTAAGCCACCACTGGAAAATGTAGACGCCAAGCTTCCTTTTCCACTAATCTAGAAGGTTCCTCACTTTCAGAGACCCCTCCCCACCCACTCCTTCCCCAGCCAACTTACTTGTGAGGAGAGCAGTTCTTCCATTTTCCATCTTCGTCATAATTTTTTGTCAGTGAGCACCAACTCCGGTTCAAAACATAGCCCTCCTTGGTGCATTTGTGAAAGAGTTTTTTCCTGAAGAGGAAGGGGAAGGTACACTTGGGGGGGTCTACAGAGAAAGGAAGGAGCAGAAGGGGAAATACAAAATGGCAAGATCGATCATTGCGAAACTCCCCACACACGATTCCTCTACCACACCGAGCTGAGTTCAAAGTGGTCAACACACATAGAAGAGTTCGGATTTGGACTCAGAGTTCTCCAAAACACCAGAAGTCGCCTAGACAGCTACCATCGGTCGCTTCGCGGATTCTAGGCATCCGAGACAGCCCATCATAGGGATGCTCACCATGCCCGGTGCAGTACCTCCACCTGCCTCGGAATTTCTTGTCAAGAGAACACCAGTCATAGTCGCTGTGGATGGAGATGCAGTTGTAGTAGATGAGGTCACCGTACATAAATGGAAAGACACAGGTGCTGTTAACAAAATCTGGAAAAGAGGAAATACACTGGGTGTGGGGGACCAAGTTTGCAAAGGGGAGTCGACCTTCTAACGTCCGTCCCAACTATCTGCACCGCGCTTGCCCACCTACCGCCCCGTGTCCACCTGTGGTGGGGGTCACTAGCTGCTGTCCCTGGGTCTGGGACCCCACACATACGTGACCAGAAGTCTCACACCCCATCTCCGAAGCCGAAATGCTGGAGCCTTTCTTATAGACTCTTTTCTCCTTCCCTCCTAGAAAAGTGAATCTCTTAGCCTTCCAGAGTGTGCTCCTGAGTATCTCTCAGAGCTTTCCACTTCCCTCTACGCCTTCATCACCACCTAGATTTGCGTTTTGCCTTGACCAAGACATTTCTGGATGCCTCCAACCCATTTGTTCTATCCGTTCTCCACACTGCAGGGGGACTGTTCCTTCTTGAATGCTAGCCTGCCCCTGCCCCTAATCTATTACTATCCCACTGCTCTGTGGCTCAGAAGCAGCACGGAAAGGGCTTATGGTATTCTGCTTGACCTTGGACTTCAAGTCTCACCTTGGACCCTGTTTCCTGTGTTCGCTCTGAGCAAGCCTTGTTAGGTGCCTCGAATGTGTGGCCGTCTTTCTCGTCTTAGAGATTTACTGACACGATTTCCTGTGCTTGGCTGGAACACCACACCATGCTTTGCTTAGTTACCCTCCCGTTAGGTTCCGCCTAGATGTGAATCTCCTTGGAAACTTCTTGACAATCCAGACTGTGCTAATCCACTTATGTGGCATGTTCTTACAGGCTCCCATTTCTTATAATCATCTAACGCATAATGACTTGTTCAGAGTCTTTCTCGTTTGTCAGAAATGACCCCAGGGATCTTGTTCAATGCTAGACCCATGACATTCACGGACAGGGACTGGCACAAAATAGACTCAACAAATAATTACTGCTTAGCCCTTCGTAAGCCTGAAATAATTTTGATACAAAATTCACTTATTTTTATTATTTAGAAACTATTTATTATTTATTGAATATATTATTTATATTTATTATTTCATAATTACAATATTTATGAACAATATGTTAGTGCTTTTATTATTTTATTGTTTAACTATATTATTTGTCATTATGATATTCATTGTGTGATTTTTATTTATTTATTTTGAGAGAGAGGAGAGAGAGTGAACAGGGGAGGGGCAGTTAAAGAGGGAGAGAAAGAAAATCCCAAGTAGGCTCCACACTGTTGGCCCAGAGCCTGACATGGAGCTCGAACCCACAAACTGTGAGATCATGACTTGAGCCAAAACCAAGAGTTGGGCGTTTAACCAACTGAGCCACCCAGGCACCCCTATTGTTTAGTATTTCAAATTATTTAACAATTTTTATTACTTAGCGTAAGTTATTATGTTTATTATTAATTGGTCATTATTATTATGTATTTATATAATATAGCTTACTCTCTGCTGGACATATTGTACACAATTTACAAACACTAATGCACTTAATGATGTTCCCGCATCAGTCCAGCGAACTGGATTCTGTCATTGGGCTCCTGCTATGGTCAGGTCAGCTTTGGTCCTCAACATGCAATCCGTACATGCAGAGACCCAGGTGCCCATTGCTCTGAAAATAACTTCCTCTGATCCCAAAGCCAAGAGGATTGAAGGACCAAACTGAAGGACCAATATATTCCAGGCCATGTCAACCCTCAAACAAGTAGTTGGCAACTGAAGTAGTTAAAAAAAAACAACCCCCCAACATTTTGGGACTAAAAGTTTCCTTTCAGTGGCTTGACTATCCTACGAAATGTTCCCATGTCTCCATTTCTCTCTCGAAGTCCCCACTTTCATGAATGCTGTAGGTTGAAATTGATTGCCAGTTGTCCACATGTGGGAACAGCCCAACTCTTCCAAGGACTCAGCCAACGTTGCCAATGGTGAGCATGCATGAGTTCCATGATTAACTTTCTAACTTAAACACCAGGTGCAAATCACAGGCATGATTCCATAGATACGAAATGTCTAGAAAGACCAGTCTATGGAGATAGAAAGTAGACTAGGGGGTTATCTGTGCCTGGGGATGGGAGTGGATATAGCAAATGGGTATAAGAGACCTTCCGAGGGTAATGAAAATGTTCTAGAACTGGATTGTGGTCATGTTTATAACCCTCTGTAAATTTACTAAAAGTAGTCAAAGGGGCACTTAAACTGGGGTGAATTTTATGATATGTAGGCTATGCCTCTACATGGAAATAAAGAAGAGAATCCACAAATGCTGATGTCAGTTCCAATAGAAAAGAGAGTTCTTTTTTGGGAAAGGCCAGGAGGAAATCTTGGAGGGGTAGACTGAACCAGATCTTGATTTGTATTTTTATTTTTTTATGTTTTATTTATTTCTTTTTTTTTTTTTAATTTTTATTTATTTCTAGGAGAGGGAGAGAGAGAGACAGCGTGAGCAGGGGAGGGTCAGAGAGAGAGGGAGACACAGAATCCGAAATAGGCTCCAGGCTCTGAGCTAGCTGTCAGCACAGAGCCCAACGCGGGGCTCGAACCCACAAACCATGAAATCATGACCTGAGCCGAAGTTGGACGCTTAACCGACTGAGCCACCCAGGCGCCCCGTGAACTGGATCTTGAAATATATGATTTGGCTGTCACGACCAAGGAGAGCCTTTCATGTCAGAAGAACAGCAAAAGAAAGAGCAAAATGGCGGCAAGTGCGAAGAGCTTCAGGAACAAGATGGGGGTGGCTAACGTATGAGATGCTAACAGATAAAGAGATGTCTACCCACCTTGAATATTTGAAAAATGTGCATGGGAAACAAGTTCTGAAAGAGAAAAAAATGGGTAAAATTTAGACCACCTCCTAAAATACTCCATTCCTACACTAATGACTTTTAAAAGTATCCTGAAGTATGTCTAGCCAACTGTCCACGTGTCATAGAAAAACCTGTGCTGTCACATTTTGGATGCCTTACGATCACTTCCGATGGGAGTAGGCTATCTCACATCTACCCAAGAGAGTCCGTTCACTCATGTGTGAGCTCCGAGTCTTCCCAAGGTCTTTCTTGGAGCCAATTCAAGTACATCCAGTGTCCCTCTACTTCCACCCAACTAACCAATGGGATTAACCAATGGGAATGAAATTCCGCAATTCTGAAGGTCAGAGAGAACCTTCTAGCTTTTGCCCACATGTCAACATTTCAGGAAAACAGCCCATGTGTTCAGGGCAGGCTTGATAGTAGTTTTGTTTTGTTGTGTTTTCACTTCTTTGAAAATTTTGCTCTTTTATCAGCCCTGAGCCTGTCCCAGGGAGTGAGGGTCCCGGAAGCACGACCACCATAAAAGCCAGGTTAGACCTCATTAGAGACTAGAAGAGAAATACGAGGGCTCATTAACTAGTAACATTGGCTGACGTTGCTATGATACAGTCATTGTGTGCAGTTGACCTTCACAACAGCCTCGGGAGAGGCTGTAATTTGGAGCTCTCTTCCTCTCTCTTCCCCCAAAAGTTACTGATGGGAAAACAGGAACAGAAAACCAGATGACCCCCCCGCTGGTGGGAATCAGGTCCAAGCTCCTGGTAGGAACCAGGTCCAAACTCTGAGAAATCTGACTTCGGAGGCTGTGTTCTGACCGTGATGTTATCTTGGAATTGCCACTCACCTGCGCAAGTAACTTAACCCATGAGCCCCTCTGGGGTTCTCTGATCTCTGATACAATGATGCTAATTCATGGGTTTGGAGGAGACTCTGAATTGGCAGCCACTGTGCGGTGAGTCTGGCATCTGGGTTAGGGGATCGCGGCCCCGCTCTTCGGAAAGAAGTGACCAAGATATCAACATTTTTGAGAGCATGGTGAAATAAATGGTTATTGGGTGGCTTTCTAGATGCCCACTTTTATGCTTTGTGCCTTATGCCATTTATCTCATGGACAGTAAAGCTTGTGGTGCCCATGTAATGTTGGGATTATTATATTTATTGCCTATATATTAACCATGACCTCCATTACAGATACAGAAATGGAGGCTTAGAGAGGGAAATCGCTTCCAAAGCCACAAAATTAAATAGTTCCTGAACTCGGGCTCCAGAAACTGAGCCTCTCAAATGATCCTGCCTCTGGGGGGCGCTGTTTCTGATCCCCTGCAACCCTTTTAGGAGCTGCCACAAAGCTGCTCCACCACCTCCGCGTGTGCTCTTGGTGAGCTGGGAGAATTTTAGGATGAAAAGACGGGTGCTGACATTTTGTCATAAACGCCAGCTGCTGCTTGGTGAGTTTGCTCCTTCGTCCATTGCAGCTGCTCCTGGCTTTGCCAACACGGTGGCTGACGCTCACCCTCCTCTGCTTTCCGCTCTGGGTTATCCCCACCGCCTTCTCATTTCACAGGTGAGAGAGCAGAGAGAGGCTTTCACCCAAACACTGTCCACAGTCGAAAATGTGTGCAGCCCAGGCTCACGTCCAGCTCCGTCTATTGCCAAGGAACAGGCTATTTCTTCCAGACCCTGGTGCCCTTGGAAATGGCTTTGGCCATTCTCATCCACTGATTTTGCTGAACGCGATGAAGTCCTTACAGATCTTCTGTCATGGTGCTTTAGGTCATTGTCACATCAAACTCTGGCCAAACATTACTATTTTTACCATTTAATGAATGTTTTTGACCCCTCCTCCCTCCTCCTCCTCCTTTCTCCTCTTCCTTCTCCACCTGCAGTGTACTCATTGAGTTCTGAGAAACACAAAACAAAGCCACCGGCACCTGAAAACCTGACCCCCCACTGCTAAGCCCTGTCACTCTCCTGCTGAACAGGACTAACTCTCAGAGTCATGACCTCAGACAGGCTTATTCTGAGATCATGGGACAATGAGATACAGCAAGACCACTGTGGAATTTTATTTAAGCACCAGCAAAGTCAAGGTCATTGTGCCACAGGTTAACAATTCCACCTCCCCCTTGGCTGAAATGGGTAGCTACAGCCTTCTTCTTCTTGTTCTTTTTTTTTTTTTTTTTAAGTTTATTTATTTATTT